TTGCTGCAGTTGTCTCTTGTATCGCAAACTACCTCCAAATTTAGAGGCTTAACAAAAACCCTCTATTTGATCCATTGTTCACAGGCCTGGAATGTGGGCAGGGTGCTGGTGGGTAGTGGCAGCTGGAGCAGGAGGTGCGCCTTGTCGCTCTGTGGCATACACCTCCCAGCGTGGTAGCTCATTCCCCAGGGACTGTCATGCAGCCTGGGTTTTCCGCAGTGTGGCATCTGAGGACTCAGGCTGCCTACTGAGGACTCGGGGAGCGACACATGGAAGCCCTGTCATGGAAGTCCATGTGTTGCTTCCACTGTGTGCCATCAGCAGGCTGCCCCTGCAGCGGCCCCAGCTTGGGCACAAGATTAATTAGATTGAGCCTCACAGTCTTCAGAGCGGAAAGTCATGAGCTGTGAAGAGCTGATCATAAAACTCCTTGGAAAAATGTCAGCTTTGGCAGTACTGGTTGTCCAACAGCTACCTGGAGGAGAAAAGAGCAAAATTGTGCACATAGTTTGCTGTGCTTTGTGTTTCACTTTTGCCTTAATGGAGTACAGTCAGTGAGCCTGGCTTTGATCCCTGCTCGAGTAATTACGGTAGCAATAATGCTAATTGTGCATGGACAGCGCTGACAAGAAGGGGCTGAGGGCCGGGAAGGCGGGGCTGCTGCCCTGTGAAGCAGGAAACTGCTTCAGACTGCAAATAGCAAAATCCTCAGCCAGAAGCTTTCTACCCACCTAAGACACACTTTCCTCCAAGGGGTCTGGGTCCACAGTTGCAGAATAGGCTGAGCATCTCAGGCGCGGTGCTCCCAGTCCTCTCTGCGGGTCTGGGCCCCTCCTGCCATGCAGGATGGCACCGTGTCACTTGGTAATGACGGAAGGGAGGCATCTCCGCTGCTGTGTCACGCCCTGAGGCCCACACCGGATCTCTTGGCATCCTGCTGGCCGGGATGCAGCCTTGGAGGAGGCCAGGAGAGCTAGTGCTGGTGCTGTGGGCTTTTTCAGGGAAGCGGCTAGGCTGACAGAATGGCACTAGGTGGGTGACCTGCGATGGTGCACGGTGTGCCTTCCCTTCCCTGCACAGCCACCAAAGTCTCACTTGGCAACTGTACAGAGGCACCATTAAATGGGTGAAATGATAATTATAATAAATTAGTATTTTTTGAAACCAACTCATTTCTCTGTAGGCTTTCTGCCCTTTACTTTGTAGTTGAGAGCTACTCCTACTGCTTCTTAACAAATAAGAAATTTCACTATTTCCCTTACACTTTAAAAAGATTTGAATGAAAGCTCTCTGACTGCCATGAAAACAGACATGCCATTATGCGGCGGCCCTCCTGCAGCCTTTACAGGTGTGTTGTAGGTTTCTAAGAGAGAGACCATTCTAAGGCAGAAGCTGTGTTTGTGTTACAGTCTAGAAACTTGGACAGGTAGTTTCTGTCCTTCATTCGTGCAGCATTTGCGGGTGTCCGCAGGCCTTGCTTTGGAGAGGGGAAGGAAGGTCTGCTGGTCTGGCACTGGGGCCAGTGTGTGAGCTGACCACAGCTGCCTCCTGCCACAGTGCATTAGAGGGGTGGGGACGCTCCCTGCCAGGCTCCTTAAGTGGGCTTTAGGAGGTTAAGGGGCTTAGTTTCCAAACAGTTAGTGCAGTAAAGTCACAGCACCATGGTACCGTAGTTGTGTTTACAGGAATTGACAAAGAAGGCCTTCCTGCTCTCCTGTCTGATATTTTAGAACTGGATTTCAGAACAAGTGCTTTGGGGAAATTATTATTTCCCCAAATACCTAAGAAGATTGACTCAAGTCAGTGAAGTATGTGATTTACTAGAAGCTGTAATATTTCTAAAAGTCATCTTTTCAGTGTTAAAAAAAATAGTGGCGTAGCAGGATGTGGTGGCGCACGCCTGTAATCCCAGCACTTGGGAGGCTGAGGCAGGAGGATTGTTATGAGTTCGAGACCATTCGGGGCTACAAAGTGAGTTCAAGGCCAGCCTGAACTGCATAGCGAGGGCCTGTCTCAAAAAGACAAAAAGTAAATTAAAAAATAGTGTTGAAAATCATACTTAGAGCCAAAAAAGAAGCTCAATCCCTTTATTATACGGTCCTTATAGACTTCCTTATAAGATAGGACCTTAAAGAGAAAGTGGAACTTGATGTCTGGCTGAAATGCTCCTCTTACTTTCCCCCAACCATCTGAATCTGATCCTGTTCTAAACTTGACACATGAACATGATCGGGCGAGCCCACACCACGGCATCCAGGGCAATCTGTATCTCCCCTCTGTTGGTAAGAATCTTGGTGGCTTCAGGTGGCCTGGTTTTGACTCTAAGTGTGAGTCCTAGAGTAAGTGTCAGGCCCTCAGCCAGCTCTCCGCCTCTTCCACACACTGTGGGGGCCTGTCAGTGCCCTGGAGTGTCAGCCCTGGGACCCTGGAGTGGACCAGATTCCTTCCTGTCTTTGGATTCTGGAAAGAAACCCTACCTGTCACGCTTGTTCCTCCTGAAGTCCTCAGCCCCACTGCAGCCCTCGTGTGCTGCGTTTCCTCAGAGCGCTCTCCTCCCACCTCTTCTGCAGGGCCTCTTCTCCCACTTGCCCAGCTTCCCCAAGTCCAGATGCCTCCAGATCACGGCCCTCCACCCAGACTTTCCTAATCGGGAAGATAGCGAGGAAATGTGTTTTCCTGACACAGGAGCATCCACTGCTCTTAGGCTGGCCACTGACAACCTAAAAACTGGCAGAATTGGAAATTAAAAGTTGTCACTAAATGGGTTCTGCATTCAGGGTCTCCTGGAGCAAGCATTCAGGACTTCGCAGACCAGCACGTCCTTCCATGTTCTGGCACCGGGCAAGGTTCTCACTTGCTCTGGGCAGTTTTGAGGTGTGGCAGTGCTTTCTTGGTAAATGGCCTCTCTTGTGTGTCACAAAGGCTTATTTTAAATCACAGAAATACTTCTAGAATAAAATGTCTTAAACTAGGAATGGTGGCACAGCAGGATGTGGTGGCGCACGCCAATAATCCCAGCACTCAGAAGGCTGACGCAGGAGGATCGTTGCAAGCTCGACGTCACTTTGGGCTACAAAGTGAGCTCAAGGCCAGTCTGAACTGCATAACAAGATCCTGTCTCAAAAAGACAAAAATAAAATAAAATGTCTTAGAAGAATGGGGTCTAGTAACCAGTTAGTGCCTATTCAACAGCTGTTTCTGGCACTTCCCAAAGTGGTGTGAAGCTCTGTCTCCAGGATACCTGCCCGGGGCTGGGCGAGGCTGCAGGTGCACACAGCGAAGCTACACCAGTGTGCTCTCCCAGCACGGGGTTTAACTGTTAATACTAGCAAGCATGTCACGGAGTGGGAAGTAGTGGTTATGGTCACTGTAAGATGTTCCAAGCATGCAGACTCCACTCCCTTTCCGTTTGGGTGAGCTGGGCTGGAGCTGGTGCCACCCCACTGAGGTTTTCTGATGTAGAGCTGATGAAAGCTTGTGCAGATAAACCTTATTTTTCCTAATGTGTATTTGGTGAGAAAGTTTTGTTTGAAGTGAGATACTGATAAGTTGAATCCATCTTAAATGCAATAGATACTTTTTAAGGAACCCAAAAATAAGTTATTATAAATCACTCCTTGAATATTGGCTCTGTAATTTCTCTAAATGTAGGTGTTTTTTCACTGACTACAAACAAACATTGACTTCTTGCTTTATAATTTAATTTTTCTCAGCTTTATTGAGGTATAACTGACTTACATGTTTTCAAGGCACACAACATGATGATTCGTATGACATTGTGCAGTGATTACCATAATCAGGTCACTTAACATATCCATCACATCCCCCATCTTAAATTAGAAATTTTTTTTTGTAAATTTGGCTTTCAAAGAATGTCACACCAATCCCATTGAATTTATCTGACTTAGAACAATGAAAATTTGGAAGATTATATTTGTTAATGGAGCTGAGCAGTTTAAGAAGTATTTCTTCAGATTCCTAACCATATTAAAGATCCATATTATCTTAAATACTTGCATTATTTTAATAAAGCACATAAAGTAAAACATCAGTGTGATCATCAAGTTCCTCGGGATGAATTATTAATTAACCCTGAGATTAGCCACGCTAACTTCCAAGATGATTTGGAGTGTACTGTTTATTGCTCTAAGCAATTACGGTTGTCAAATGTAAATGTTAGAGTACATTTTCATTAACATGCTATCTATGTCCAGCTGCTTCTCAATGCTTTGTTGGTCTTCATACAGTGCCATCATTCAATAAATGTTTAATAGAAAGGCTTATTAAAGTTTTATTTATTAGACTTAATGAGAAATAGTGGAAATGAAGATAAATTAAGTTAAAGTAATGGAGAAAATATAATTGAAGAAATTTGGAGTACAATTTAAATCAACTTCTTTGTTAATATTAAAAGTGTATGACCACAACTTAAAATGTTCAAATATATCATTGTGGGGAGAATGAAAGGAATATCTTACCATTCCTAGATTATTTGAAAAGGAATATTTGAGATGACAGCAGAATACAGATATGGCCATCATTAGATAAAATGTTTTTTATAGAAATCCTTATAGAACATTGACAGTTATTGTCAGTGATTTTGTATATGCTTATCTCTGTAATATGTGAAAAATAATGTTGCAAGATGTCAGTGATTTACCTACAATATGAAATAAATTTAAAAATTTTAAATAAATCACTACAATTAAACTTTCTACCATTGCATGTACGTGATACAGAGAACTATATATTTTTCTGAGAATGTGATTAGATCAAGTCTTGCAAACTAAGAACTAACTTGGATTTAAGTAAAATATCATTTGCAGTAAGATGTTTGATGAGGCCAGATGATGACTGCCAGGTCCTCTGACTGGGGACAGAGCACGGGACAGGCTCTGCCTGATAAGAGCATGCTTACTGCATTCGTCACTAGAAAACGTGTGATATACGTTGTTACAGGGAAGTTTTAATGATTTTTATGTTTTTGATTTCACAACTAGGCGATCAGCTGCAAAGGCCAGCACAGCATCTCCTACACTTTATCAAGAAACCAGACCGTGGTGGTGGAGTACACACATGATAAAGACACGGACATGTTTCAGGTAACCGCTGGCTTTGTTAATGGAAAATTTGTCACAGTTTTCCTTGACTTCTGTATTTCGGTGTTGAACCAAAACATCCAACACAGTGATATTGGTGATGACTAGGGGAAAGAAGTAAGGATAATCTGGAATTTATTCCTACAGTATTTGATTTTTGAAAGATTAAAAAAATCACTTAATTCTCAAAATCTAAAAAGAAATTATAAAGGCCACATTGTTACATAGTGGTACAATAAAAAGTAGATATGTTTTAAAGAATAGAATGTTTTAAAACCGACCAGTTTTAAAAGCCAACATACTGAAAATACTTCCAAATAACCTGAGTCAGTGGAGACAGAGACAGCAAGAGTACGACTGTAAGCCTGTCAGAAGTGACGGGGATACTGGACAGCGAGACGACGTGATGTAGCCAGCCTCTTACTCTCCTGCAGACATTGTAAAGCGTAAGTGCTTTTATTATTAAAATTTAAGAAGGTGAAGAAAAAAATCCAAGCAATAAACCTTTCTCTCTAAAAGTTCTTTTTAAAAAAATGACAGTAAAGTATAGGTTGGGTTCAGGAGTAATTTTAGTGGCGTACAACAGAAAATCCAGCAATGCAGAAGAGAGGAATTAAAGCACCCCCTTCATGAATTAAAGAAGAGCAGACTTTATAAATATATACAAAACGTACTACTTTAAAACAACAGAAGATTAAAATTTAGGCCAATAAAGGGAAAAAGCAAACATAATTTGGAACAAAAAAGACACTCTGAATTTCTGTATGGAGAATTAAATCATTAAATAACTAGTGTTGAAAGAAATGTAAAATAATTATGGTGGATGGATACAGTATCATAGTCTCTGCCAAAATAAACTCGGAAGAGTCAAAGTGTTTAAGTGTAAAAATAAAGGAACAAAAGTCCTGGAATGAAATTTAAATGACTTTATATTCTTAGAGTAGGGCATGATTAATAGCATGTGAAGAAGGAGATTTTACTTTATACAGCTTATCTTCTTTCTGAATGTGAAAAAACAAAAGACAAACTAAGAAGTGACAACTTAGGAAACAAATCAAGTAGGCAGAAGAATGATACCTGTAATATGTAAATCACTTTTCTGCACTTTGAGAGTGGTCAAAGAAAACGTGCAGATCTCAAAAGAAGAGATGATTAGCCAATAAATATATAAAATAATTTTAAAATATCGTCAATAATAAATTCGTGATGTATTGTATATCCTAATTAAAAAACTACAAACAAAGCTATACTTGCAGCAGTAGGTGAGAATGGGTACCATAGGGCACATTTAAATATAAAATACCCTGCAGCCGATAGTGAATATTGAACAGAAACTTCAGTAAATAAGAAAAAAAGAGATGTACGCCCAGCCTGTACTTCATTTTATATGCAGACACATAAACTAGAGAAATGAGGCGAGAAACACGGGTCCCAGATCTTGTAGCCTGTCTTCTGTGACATCCTGGCACGCACTCATAAGCTGGACCATCTACATCAATTACTTCGATCATGATCAAAAAAGAAATAAAATTCTGTATCATTTTTGGCAGTATGCATAGTGATCGTGACCTTCAGCATCTCTGACTGCCAAGAAGAGCTAGCCTAAAGCAAAGATGTCTATTTCCTCTCAACTTTCTCTCAGAATTTGGGAGAAATATCTATTTTTCCATATGTTTATTAAATTAAAAATGAATAGAAAAAGGGCTTTAAGTCAGCCATCTGGTGGGGGACATTATTTTAGGGTCTCATAAAATTTTAAGATTCAAAGATTTTTCTACAAATAAACTATTAGAAGAAAACATGGGAAAGTGTTATATAACTTCAAGTTGGAAAAACTTTCTAATTGTGAAACAAGACCCAGAAACTGTAAAAAAAAGATTGATAAATTAGTTTTGCATAGTAAACTTTCTGTGCAGCCGGATATAATAAAATAAAATCAAAAGCAAATATCAATTGAAAGAAATATTCACAGTTTGGATTGCAAAGGGTTAACGTTTCAACAGTGTAAGTACTCCTAAAAAGACTAACTTCATAAGTCAGCAAAGGATTTGACAGCTAGTTCATCCAAAAGGGAAAATAAATGGCTCTTACAAGTAAGAAAATACACTTGATGTCATTTCTGAAAAAAGAAATGTGAATTAAAATCACACAGAGTTACTATTTTGTACTTATTAAGAGTAGAAAAATGAAATGCTTGCCTGTTGTGACTCATCTCTTGTCTTTATAAAACTCATCCCTTTCTAGAGGTTTAGCCAAAGATACCCTTAGGTATGTGCAAAATAAAATCTGTACAAATGGGGGCAAGTTCTGTAAATTTGGGAACAGAAAGAACAGAGAAGGCTTTTTGTACAGAATAGGAAAAGCCTGGAAGAAGTACCAAACACACTAAATGGATTAAATATTAGCATTGTTAAATATATTGAGTCTTGTCAGTACTGTTTGATTCTGTTGCGATTACTTAATGTTAAATGTTAACAAATTAAATCATGTAGTATAGACAGTAAAGGGGCTGGGGATTTAGCTCAGCAGCACAGCGCCTGCCTGGCAAGCGCAAGGTCGTGAGTTCAACTCCCAGTACCGGAAAACAAACAAACAAACAAAAATTATAGACAGTAATATTAAGTATTACATTAAGTGTCAAATCAGGATAGTTAAATGGTTTAAAAATGCTTAAGTGCATTAAAAATTTCTAGGACACTCAAGACCTTGCTAACATGGGTACCTTGTTGGGGAGGGGACTGGGATGGTGGAATGCAGGGATGGCTCACACTGTTGAATTTCAAGTCTGTGTGAATGTGTTAGTTATTTCAAGAGAAAACCTAAGCAATCCTAGGCAGACACATGACAGACGTAGTCACCAATATAGACAGAGTTATTTAATGCCAGTTTGGACCAAAGCATAAGAATTACCTTATTTAGGCAAAACGTTAACAGTGGTTTTACTCACCGTGCTCTTCTAATATATGCTCTTCCAAGTGTCCTTTTCTACCAAAGAAAACCTTGTTCTAACTGCACATACTACACGCCTGCTTACACTCACCTGTGCCCTTTGCAACTCAATATTCTGGGCCTAAGCTAAACTTAGAGAAGATTTCAGTGATACAAGCAAACCTTAGATCTCCAGAGTTCTTTGTTCTCTACACCACACCAGCCCAAGCTCTTCAAGGAAAACATGGAAAGCTCAGTTAACAATATATGTACTTCTTAAGAAAACAGAACACATTGGTCATTTTTATGAAAGCAATTGGAGTCCATCCATAGACTAATTGGACTTGTAGAGGACTAGTGCCAGATCATTTGTAGTTTAAATGCAACTCTTAGAAGGTCTTGACATGGCTTTTTCCCTTTAAGGAATGAGCGCTGCGGCACTCATCGTCCTCCAAGACAGACATGGGGTGCAGCCTGCTCAGTTTAGCTGAGTGTTTAGAAGCCACGTACCAGAAGCAGCCAGAAAAGGGCCGGGTGACAATGAAGACCGCACCCAAAAGTGAGAGTGTCTGGATTAAGCTAATGTAAGAGCTGAGTAATTGCAGGAGGGTAGGGCTAAGTAAAGGAAGCAAAGAAAGGCCTAGCTGGTGAGAGGAATGACGGTGACCTCAGTGTCCCCCAAGGAAGGCGAGAGACCAGTGCATTCAGATCTCAGGACCAGGAGGCTGGCCAGTCCCGGCAGACCAGGTACTTTCCTGCATTGCTCGGCCTCTCACCGTTGAGCCTGGCTGCTGCCATGCCTGGTACTTTGGGGTTTTGTTTGTTTTTTTTTTATTTTACTGTAGTTTAAGATGGTAGCATTTAATTAGCACCCATTTAGTTCAAGGAAACTAATGGTGCATACATTTTGTCACTAGTTCTTTCTCACAAGGAGTTGTTCAGGGTACGTGTGTGTGTGTGTGTGTGTGTGTGTGTGTGTGTGTGTCTGTCTGTCTGTGTGTCTCTGTGTATCTCACGGGACCCAACCTCTCCGTGGTCACCCTGCACTCATGGTTTTTATTTCTTGGCGCAGCCGGCATGTCAGGCTTTCCTCTGGTCTCGGGAAGCGAGCTGCGGCTCTGAGTGTCCAGGCCGGACGAGCGGATGAGTGCTGTTGCAGCGGCTGCAGTGCAGGGAGGCAGTAGGAGGACAGGCAGACGGTGGGGGAGGAGAGAGGCTGGTGGGGCCGCTTCATGGAGGCTTTTGCAGAGTGGTGGGGCGTGGCGCGGGGCCCAGGTATTCCTCTCAGAGCTGAGACACCCTGTGTACCCTGTGTGGAGAAGTGTGTCCCAGGCAAGCGTGAACACAGGGGTTTGGAGGCTGAGCTGATGGTGACTGGAGTGGCCGAGGCTGGGACCTGAGGGACCGCTGGAAGGGGTCAGAGGGATGGCGTGAGCAGAGAAGGGGTGTATCAAGAATGAGTCTTAAGCTCGCCTTTTAGCTGGAGCCAGTGAGTCACTGTCAGAGGGGAACTGCGGAATGAGAGGGAGTGGGAGTCCTGTTACCTCGGCCATGCTTTGTCAGTGGAGACTGAGGTGTTATGGGCGCTCGGGAGAGACCCCGCTTCGGCTCATTAACGGGACTTGGGGAGAGGCCAGAAGCGGAGCGGAGGGGCTGCACATGCTGGCTGCTGTAACGCCGGGTACAGGGGTGCTGGCTGACGGAGCCCTGCAGCCCGTGGGGCCCTTAGCACAGGGTCCTGGAGACAGGAGGGTGGGAAGCCCAGCAGGAGCGGTTGAGGAGGAAGTTAGAGATGGCGGGAGATGGAGGTGGTGGTGGTGACCGGCTTTCCAAGAAGTATTGCCGGTAAGAGAACCTGAGCCTTGGACTAGAGCTGCAGAGCTGCTTGCTGGCAGACGAAGGAAAGTGTTTCCAAAGGGAAACCACCCAGGGTGTGACGGTGCATGCCTCTCATCCCAGCACTCTGGGAGGCTGAGGCAGGATCGCAAGTTCAAACCCAGCCTGGGCAATGTACCTTCTTCGCAAGACCCTGCCTCAGAATTTAAGAAAGGGCTGGGATGGAGCTCATTGCAAAG